GCCAGGACTCCAGTGGCAACATTAGAAGTTTGGTCATTAACCATGACCTTCAGTCAAGGTCTTTGAGATAAAGATGATCTCATTCTTTGTTTGCCGAATCACTTATTTTCCTCATGTGTATAATTTTAGGTGGAAAATGGAACCAAAAACAGGCACATGTAGAAAAATGTGGTCTCCCCCAGAAGTTGCCACAAAATACAAAACATTCATTCCTTAGTAAAGTAATTGTAGTTATGTATGAGACCTAGAGACTGATTCCTTCTAACTGGATTAGTCATTTTGCCTAGATGGCAATATATTTCACCCCTCTTCCCATCTCAATATTTGGTAGGAACAACACTCATTCCTCATAGGTCCCATTTAGTTCCTTCATACATTCTACTTAACATTATTTGATGCAGAAGATTTAGAGCAGAACTGACCACATCAGCAGAACCTGAGCATAGTCCTGACCTTTATTTTTTAAACCAAAATCTTCTCACACCAACTCCTCTTCACTACTTGTTCACTGTGCCCAGAGCCAGTAGCTGTCTGATGATGAAATCAAGATATGAGCTGCACGGAGCTCTGTCCTTGACTTCACAAAGGTTATATCCAGCACCTAGCTTACTCCCTGGAACACAGCAGGCGCTGATTTGCTGGAAGAAAGAATAAAGATAGTGTCTGTGGAATTGTGAGTAGGTCTGAATTTCCTGAAGCTAAACCAAGGATTCTGATAGATTTAAAACCTCTGACTGGTAAACTGAGGAGTTTAGGTTTTCATTTATGCTTTCAGTCAGCAAACATTTTTTGAGAGCTACCATGTTGTAGGAATGGTGGATTCACTTCTTGACAAAACGCACTTGGAATTCCTTGCTTTGCTTTTGGTTTTCTAAGGAGCAGACCTAATCAGTCACAGTCCTTGCCTCTCACTTGAGCTCAGTTCAGGGCCAGCCTCTGCGGGGCTGCGGGGGGCGGGGGGGATGGGGTTGGAGGGGCCTGAATGTTATTAGTAAAGACAAAGCAAAGAAGGAACAGAAACCAGCTCTCTTCCTCCTTCTCTCTTTTCTATCACTATGTCAACCTGCAGCCATTTCCCTAAGGCTGGTTTTCACTCCTACTTCATCCTACCCTGCCTTCCTAGATCCTCTGCAGAAAATTCCAGGAGAATTACTTTTCCTCTGAAATACAGATGAGCCTAACTGGTGGGAATGCAAAACAATACAGCCACTTGAGAAGACAGATGGGCAGTTTCTTATAAAAATAAACATACTCTTACCATACAATCCAGCAACTGGGCTCTTTGGTATTTACCCCAAGGAACTAGAAACTTATGCCCACACAAAAACCGGAACATGGATATTTATAACAGTTTTATCTATAACTGCCAAAACTTGGAAGCATCCAAGATGGCCTTCAGTAGGTGAATGGATAAACAAACTATGATACATACAGACAATGGAATATTACTCAGCACTAAAAACAAATGAGCTATCAAGCCATGAAAAGGCATGGAGGAAACTTAAAAGCATATTGCTAAATGAAAGAAGCCAAACTGAAAAGCCTACATACCAACTATATGTACTAGCCACATTCATTCCTTATAGGCCTCATTTAATTGCTTCATACATTCTATTTAACACTATTTGATGCAGAAGATTTAGAGCAGTGTGATTCCAACTATATGACATTCTGGAAAAGGCAAAACTATGGGGACAATAAGAAGATCAGTGATTGCCAGGGGTTTGGGAATAGGTAGAGCACAGAGGATTTTTAGGGCAGTGAAACTATTCTATATGGTATTATTATCATGGATACATGTCATTATACATTTGTCCAAAGGCATAGAATGTACACCACCAAGAGTGAACCCAAAGATAAATTATGGACTTTGGGTGGTAAAGATGTATCAGTGTAGGTTCATTGACTGTAACAAATGTCCCACTCTGATGGGGGATGTAGATATGCGGAAGACTATGCCTATGTGGGGGCAGGGGCTATATGGAACTCTCTGTACTTTCCAGTCAATTTTACCGTGAACCTAAAATTGCTCTAAAAATATATTTCCACAGCTGTGTTCTGTTACTTAATGGACCACACAAAAAAAGACATTGGTCTGATCAGAAACACACGATGTTACCAGTGGTAGAACAAGCAGCCTGGCTAGTCCCTCATGCTGGGGAAGAAAAAAGGGAAGGGGAGATGGGCTCCATGGTTGGAGGCCCAGCCCTCTGTACCACTCATCACTTTTCCTGCACCCTTCCATTGGATTCCTGGGTCTGGGCTTCCCAGAAAAGACTAGAAACCAAGGGTCACCTGCTTTAGAATCACCTGAAACTTTATGAATATTCATATTCTCAGGCCAACCTCCCAGAAAACCAAATTTGGTCATTCAGGGATAAGGTCCAGGGATCTGCATTTTCAAAAAGTTCCCAAGGCATTCTAATGTGCATCTAGGCTTCAGAGCCACAAAACCTCGCTGCTGAGGGGCCCTTGTGCCTGTTGCCAGGAAAAGGAGGGGTAATTGTATACGAGGCCTTTCTCTTGGATACCAATTATTCACCTGTTGGCTTTACCATACTGGTATTATCATCTGCCTGTTGTATATATTCTCCCAAGGATCATCCCATCCCAGAAGTTAGGGCAAGGTCCAGATTCCAGTCTTTCCATTATGCTCTAATGGAAAAAAGAGTTAAATTCCAACCTGCCTCTCCTTTTTTCTAGTCATTCATTTGACAAATACTTACAGCATGCCTCCTAATGTGCCGTCTTCCATTCTAGGGGCTGGGAATACAATGATGAACAGGCAGATAAGGTCCTTTCTCTCCTGGTGCTTCTCTTCTACAAAAGGGAGAACTAAGAAATAAATAAGAAACAAAGATTATTTTGGGCAGAAGAGAGGACTGGAAAACAAAACAGGGTGACGTGACAGTGAGTGTTATGAAAAGGTAGGGTACATGAGAGGTGGTAGGGTAATATTCTCTAAGGAGCTAACAGTGGGGTGAAGACTGAGTGGTGAGAAGAAAACATCTAGAGGTAAACACTGCAAGGGCCACCACCAGGAAGAAGGTTGGCGTTTCTGAGATTTTTCCAAGTTGGGGCTTAGAGAGTACCGAACAGGAGGAGAGGTGAGGTTGGAGAAGCATTTTATCTCAAGTGCAATGGCTAAGCCACTGACAAATTTTAAGCAGAGGAGTAACACGATCTGGGTTATATTTTAAAACAAAATCCTCTGGCCACTGTGATAAAAATGGATTGAATAGGTTGGGGTTGGGCTGAAGGGGGGCAGGGTTCAAGAGAAGAAGCAAGGGAAGCAGGTTACACTGGTAGCAGAGGCTGAGCATATGGTGATTTGGAATGGGATAGAGGTGATGTAAGTGGGAAAATTCAAGATCTACTTTGGAGTTAGAGCTGATAGGACTTGTTAATGGTTTGGATAAGAGTTGTGAGGAAAAGAGAAGAATCAAGGATGGCTCTTAGAAACTTTGTTTTGAACCACTGAGTGAATGATGCAGTAGACTTAAAGATACTGTTTGGGAATGTTTGGAACACCTATTAAACAGTTAAGTGACAAAGTAGAGTAGCATTAGATATATGAGTTTAGAGTTCAGTGGTAAGATCAGAGTAGAGATAAGGAGAGTCAGGAGCATAAGAATAGTATTTGACACCATTGTGGTAGGCTGAATAATGACCCCCCAAATATGTCCATGTCCTAATCCCTGGAACCCTAAAGGACCTGTTGTTCATGAAAGCACTTAAAATGTTTTTTGTAGGTCTCACACAACACCCAAGGTAGGTATTATTATTTTCCACTTAATAGATGGGGAACCTGAGGCTCAGAGAAGTGGAATGCCTTGTTCCAGGTACCAGAACTGGAAAATACCTGTTTCACTTTCAAGTGCCTTACAGAATTTCTGCAAGGGTGGGTAAAGAGTTGCACTGTGTGCTTTGAGACAGGTCCTTTGCAGCATACTGCCTTGGCTCCCAAAAACCTGCCCTAGGAATGCATTTCTATGAGGCCTGTCATTTCTTTGGCCAGCTCTGGCATATTATTTTTCTGACCTCCAGAGCTCTTGCCAGCCCAATCACACCTCATGGCCACTCCTCAGCTAGTTTGTTAGCTCTGGGAGGGCTTAGTAGGGTCATCACATAATGAACAACCCCACATGCCAGGCCCTGTGCAAGCCACCTAACTTTCATTCAATAATCACAGTAACTCTTTCCATTGTCTTTGGAGCGAGCTAGAAAGGCTGGATTACTGGGGAATGGAAAGAAGACAGGACCAGGAGCAAGGGGAGCCTGGGTTCAAGTAAGGGTGGTGGGGGATGGGGGTGGCGCATAGCCCTAACTGGGAGCTAAAGTAACCTTGGGCTGGCAATTCAATCCTTTAAGAAAACCAGAAAGATTACACTACAGATGATTTCGAAACTCCCTCGAAGATACTTGTATGAGAGATTCTCTTCTTTCCCCATCTCTAGGGCTCCACTATTATAGGCAGCAGTCGGAACCAAGGGTGTAGTGGCCGCCTGCCTGTTCAGCCCTGGGCTGCCCCTCAACTCCCTCCTTAGAGGTGAGTCGGGCCGCGACTCAGCCCATTGCCCGGGACGCTGCCGGGCTCCGAAGTGGGCGATAGGTCATTCCAGGATAAGGAAGAGGAGGCTCTGAAAAACTGCAACTCCCAGGAGCCCTTGGGGTGCCACTCGGCAGCCTGGGCATGGTGCATGCTGGGAGCAGTATATTGCCTCCTGCCGCGGCAGGCTCATTGTTAAGGCCCCTCAGGCCAGGTAACCCGTGCGCATGCCCAGTCACGTCCCAACTAGTTCGGCTTTTTTCCTTCCTGCAGGATTCTTCTCTTTCCGGCCTCGCCCAGGCGAGCTTTTCCCCGCCCCACCCCCCGCCCCCTTTTTAAGGATTTTGGAGGGGGCGGGGCCTCTGGCAAGCGCGTTCCCAGGGGTGTTTACACGCGCGTTCATGGGAGATTAAAAAGGGAGAGGACCAAACATTGGAGGTGGAAGGTGGCGAATCTAGGCGACAGCGGATAATGGAAGGCGCATGCGTTCCAGGGGAGGCGCTGCAAGGCGTCGGGAATCACGGAGGGGCGGGGCGGAAACGTGCCAGTGAGCTGACGCACGCGCATTGGGCCGCCAGCGCCCCGCCTCCTTCTTCAGGTTTCCTCTCCTCCTCCGCCACTCTTCCGGAAGTGCAGCCGCCCTCGCGCCCACCAGCGGCCACCCCCTGCGGCAGGCCCCGCCCCTCCCGGCTCCGCCCCCCAGCTCTCCGCCCCCTCCTCCGGTGGTGGCGCCGGCTTGCAGCCCGGGTCGTGGCGGTTTCGGTGCCCCAAGCCGGGAGCGCGGAGTCGTTCCCGGACCGGCGGCCAGGCTATGATCGCGGGTCCCCGGCGTCCCGCTCCGGTCACCCAGAGTCCCTGTCTCAGCTTGTGCCCGTACCCGAGCGGTCTCCTCAGCCCGACCCCGCGGCGCGGTTGTCGGCGGCGCCCCCGGCGCGCCCCCTCCTCCCGATGGCGGCGGAGATCCAGCCTAAGCCGCTGACCCGCAAGCCCATCCTGCTGCAGCGGGTCGAGGGGTCCCAGGAGGTGGTGAATATGGCCGTGATCGTGCCCAAGGAGGAGGGCGTCATCAGCGTCTCGGAGGACAGGTACGGACCGCCGCCCCTCGGCCGCGAGGAGGGGCGGGACGGGCCGGCGGTCCTGGAGCCCGCGTCCCGGGCTGTGCCTCCACGTCGGCGCAAGTGTAGACATACTCCCCCAAGTTTTTATTACAATGCGCATCCTGGTGGTGCTGGTGTCCAGCTGAGCTCCGCCGCCACTGCGTGGCTCTGGGAAGCGGAGACCAGACAGCGGCGTGCGCTCTGGCCTTGCCCGGGGCGGGTGGCGCAGGCCGGGCCAGGGTGGCCCTTGGACTAACTGTGCGCCGGCCACTGGACCTTGGTCCAGCCCTAAGGACGGGAGGGGAGGAGGGTGGGGCCGGCCCGCCCTGCAGGTGTGTGCGTGGGGAGGATGCTCCGAGAGCCTTTGCTAGATAACTAAGGGTTTTTGAGTACTCTGGTACAGTTCTTAGGGCTCCAGACAGAAAGTAAATGCCACTCTCTTCTTCCAGACAGTCCCACCGAATCCAGATCTCCTGTACATCTTACACTGAACTCAGTGAATATTGCAAGTTGTGAAAACAGTATAACTTTGGGCTTCTGCCCGAGAGGAGAGGTGCCCTTCTCTTCTTTGCTCTCATTTTCTTATTTCTTCGAGCTCAAGGGGAAGCGCCTAGAACTTGCAAGGGACCACTGCTGCAAATAGCTCTCGAGTTCCTTCCCTTTGCTTGCTTCCTTTCTTTTTGCTTAATTTTGCTTAATTTGCAGAAGTGGAGCCAGTTGTTCTGCCTTTAATAATTTCCCTTGTTTTTCAGACAATAGCATTTGCGCTTTAACTTAATTCATTTAATATGCAGAAGTTAAGCCGATGAAGGCGATTTCCATAGGAATGATGCTTGAATATAGTGATTATGGTATTTATCTAGAATTGTTGTTTCGATAATACCAACTAGCGTTCTAAAAAATGTAACACTATAGAGGTATATGACAAGGGGCTTTTACCTTAAAACAGTAGTTAGGTTTGCTTAATGTAAATTCAGATTATGCTGAGGTAGAGAATTTTTTTCTCTGTGACCAGTACAGTTGCAGGCAGGGGCAAAGCAGCAACGTGTTCATTACTGTCTTTATAGTCATTTCAGCACTTTGTATGCAGTGTGGCCTCAAAAAAATTTGTCTTACAGGTCTATTCATATGATAGGTTCTTCAATATAACTAAGATGAGTATATTAATAATAACTGTTTGTCTACATCATACTCCCTACAAATGGCCAAAAGGTGCTCTATTCATTTCCTAGATCCAGTGGGGAAAATTGTAAACATAGGCCAGTGGCAAGCAGTCTGCAGTGAACGGAAGAAATACGCTGCTGAAACGGAGTACATGGATTAAAAACCTTTGAAATTCACAAAGAAGTTTATAAGTGTTTAGTTTTTTGATAGAGGCAAAATTCTATTAAGGAGATTACTTCCGGACCTAGAAATTTGTTACAGATTTGTTTCTAAAGGGATATATTGATGTCACTTTCCCAGTCTATAACTGCTGTAAATGAAACTGCTCAACCTAACTGCTGTAGGAAATTCATAAATAAGTTTGTTGAGTCAAGTAAAAGAAGGAGAAAGGTGGTTAAACTTAAGCTCCTTTAATATTAGTTTTGAAACTTTTTGCTTCGGTTGATGGTTCGGGAGTAGAGGTTAGTTTTCAGGGTTTTTTGTTGTTGTTGTCTTAAGAGTTCAGAGGGATTTTATTTATTTATTTATTTTTTAAAGATTTTATTTATTTATTTGGCAGAGAGAGGGATCGCGAGAGCGGGAGCACAAGCAGGGGGAGTGGGAGAGGGAGAAGCAGGCTTCCTGCTGAGCAGGGAGCCTGATGCGGGGCTCGATCCCAGGACCCTGGGATCATGACCTGAGCTGAAGGCAGACGCTTAACGACTGAACCACCCAGGCACCCCAAGAGTTCAGAGGGATTTTACAGGTTATTTGCTCTAACTGCTTCATTTTATGGATGAGAAAATTTAGGCCAGAGAATTTACCTGCCCAAATTCATGGAGCAGCTGGTGAAGCCAGGCTTAGCTCCTGAGTCTCCTGATTCCCATTTTAGTGTGTTTATCTTGAAGGAAGCAGCTTAAGTAGGATGCATTTCAAGGTGTTTGGAGAAGCTGAAGTAGCATATATGAAGGAAACTAAAAGATAAATCTCATTTGATTACAGGACAAAAATGTGATGTTTAGCTATAAAGTAGCTTAATTTTCACTTTTCTAGTTTACAATTTAACTAGAATTATTTTATTAAACTAGGAATTATTTTATTATAGAGTTACTGTTAAATAAATAAGGCCCCCCCATATGTCCAGAATTATTCTTTACATATATTTTACTAATACTCAAATTGACAAATCTGTGTTTCCATGCTCACAGGTGATAATAACTTTGTTATTTAGAGCTCAGTTTTGATTATGGTTTTCCTTAAAAGAGAATTGATACGTATTCTTTCAAAATCCACTGTCACTGCCATTTGACATAATGCTAAAGATATGAAGATAGAATATTGATTTTCATCAATACGTACAAAGCCATTTCCATTAACTGCTTCAATTAGAAACTAATAGTTTTCATTCCTGAACTCTAAGGTTAAATCACAAATAACGTCCTATCCTGTCTGGCAGTGTCCTGGAAGTTCTTTGGAAACCTGGTTTCCCTTTTTGACCTCTGAATCCGGATAGCCTTTATCTAACCTTAGAAAACACTTAACATTTTCTTTTTTAAACAGTATTGTAGATACTTACGGTCCAGTCGTCTTCTCCATAATTTCCTACATGTGTCTTATTATTGTAGTATCTTTAGGGCCTAGCAAAGTGCCTGATGCATGGTGGGCCCCCAGACATTTGTTGTGTATCAGTGACTGATATATTTTTGTTGTCATTCCTGAAAGCATCTTAACTATTGTAGGCATTTAGTTGATATTTACTGATTGACTTTTATGACAACCTGTTAAAGCCCTGTGTGGACAAATGCACACTTTTGGGAGGAGTGGACTGGGTGGTCTTCAGGGTGCCTTAAAACATTCATTCCATCAACAAACATTTACGTTTCTGTTGTGTTCTGAGCACTTGAGCATACTACATTGGTGAAATGGCAAGATCCTTTCAAGATACAATTTAGTTGGGGGGGGGGAGTTTTAGAAGATAATAAGACAAAACCACAACCTCCAAGATTTCGTATTGAAAAGAGAATTTTTGAATGGGGAAGAGTGACCGGATTCCGTAGCGCTTATTGTCCCCTACATTTTATCTTCTTCTGGGGGATTCTGTCACTTGGATTACCATTTTCATCCTACTGCTGCTATCAGTAGCGGGTTGATAATATTCTAATCTTCAGGCCAAAGAGTCAATAAAAACCCTCACCCTCAGTTTATCTCAGCACAGTTCGGACAGCCTGGAACTTTGCTGGATACCAAGGAAGGAAATATAAGGGAACATAAGAAATATAAAAACAATCTGTTTTCAAAGTTCAGATTTCTGGTGCTATCACAATACAGAACTTGTTCTGGGAACTCCCTGGCCAGTTCTGAGATTGTCTTTGCTTTGCGTATAGCTAGATTCTGTCTCTAGGGGACATACCCACCTTTGGTACTTTGGGTTCCTCATGTTCTAGCTGCCTTCTGGACCGTCTTTTCTGAGTGGATGCTATCTTAACATTCCTTGCTTAGGAGCTTCATCCGAGACATCTTAGCTCGATTTTGATTAACACTGATATCTAGTCTGCAGCTTCACAGGGCCTCCCCTGTCTTGTGATGGCCTCTTCTTCAGTGATGAAGGCCAGGAGAGACCTCTCTCCAGGTGGGACCCAGCCCCATCCAGATGTTCACGTTTATATATGCTTTATATGCATATTTTAACACGAGTCAACAATCTTGGCATTCATACAGAGAGTTTTAGTAACTGGGTAGTTACTAGGGGGCAGTTAAAGGAAATTGTTCCTTCACCAGGAGTCTGTACCTTTGCAGTGGGTAAAGGGGGGGGTCCGTTTTTATCTCAGTATAAGGAGATGTGCTGAAGACAGGTACAGACAACATCCTCTGGGGTTACCGAAGAATCTCTGCTCGTGGTGGTTAGAGAAAAGGAGTGCTCCTACAGCTGGGTCTTGCAGGATGACTAGGAGTTATGTGAAAAAGTGAGGGTAAAGAGCATTGTAGGTAGAGGGGGAAAAGAAAACTCTCATTCATTGAGAAGCACTAGAATGGACTGGTTAAGAGTATAGATTCAGGAGCCAGTCAGCATGAATTCAGAACTCAGCTCTGAGTGATTTGAAGAATCTGGAAAATTAGTGTCTCCAGAGGAGTGACTTTGAGTGAAACTTTCTAAAACCTCTAGGCACAAGAATTTGAAATTCTTTTCTGGACAAAAAATCCAAGGCTGTGGTGGTGGGGTGTTGGGGAGGAGGCTCTGATGGGGGGGTGGGGTGGGGGAGGAACTGCTGGGGATGAGTGTAATGGGGAAGGGAGTGTGGGGGACCTACCACCTTATATTCTAATTTAATTCAGGACCAATTTATGCAGCATAGTTAGGGTTCCCTGTAATCCCTAAGGGCAGACAGAACCCCACTCCCCCCGTGCCCCACAATGGTAAAAGAGTCAGATTTTTATCTCCAAATGAGGAGATCTGGTCCCTAGTGTCTAACACAAGGCAGTATATATTCATTGAATGAATTATGCAATGGCTGATCAATCACCAGTTTGGAATGAATTGGGCCTGAGGAGGTGGCGAGTTTCCTGGAGCAATGATAGAGCAAAGATATTTGAGATGAGTCTGAGAGAAACTTAGTAGCTTGCTTTCAACCAGGGTAAAAATACAGCAGGGGATGGGGTTGGGAAGGGACTGGGACAAGAGAAGGGTTGGATTTTTTTTGTTGTTGTTAATCTCTAAGGTGTTCTTTGTTTTTTCGGTTTTTTGGTTTGTTTTTGTTTTTTTAAATTCTGAACTACTCGATTCTAAGTGGTCATGACTACTTGACTGTTTCTTGAAAAGACATGTTAAAATTTCATTTCATTTTATA